GCAGTTACTATGGAATAGAGATTTATAGCCATTGAGTGATAGAGGCACATAGAGCCCTTGGCTCACTGAGGGAGTAACATAAAATTGTACTTATTATTTTGTAACTATAATCTCCAATCAATATTAATATGTTTAGTTACCCAGAAGCAGGAGAGAATATCGTAAAAGGCAGCTGTGTGGTTGAATGTTATGATTGGGTCATTGGAAGTCTACAGACCAATGAGAGTCAGTGATTCTGTACCTTTGATTTCTCTGTTCTCCTTCAGGACACTGAAACACTCTTCTTTCTCTGTGAAGGAGCAACTCTTGAGAAGAGTGTTTTTGTAAGTCAACAGAGAGTTACCTGCCTCTGGCTCAACAGTAGTAACAGGAAGGGAGAGAAAAAGAAAAAGGAAAAAAAGACTTGTTCTGTTTTCTTTATTTAAAAAAGTTAACTAAAAATGTTTCAGACATAGTACATATTTTTTTTAATATTGAACCATTTTAGAATATACAGCTAACATTCAGCCCAATTACCCTAAACTCCTTAGTACATATTACCTAGCAATGCAAACCTTCTCAGAAACTACAAGCACACATAAAATCAGGAGATTAACACAGGTAAGCTGCTACTGCCTCTACAGAATTCATTCGATTTTTAAGAACTAAACAATTATAGAAGTAAAAAGGTTTCATTCTGATCCACATTTTTCATTTAGCTGTTACTATTTGAGCTTTTTTCAACTGAGGATAACCCCTCAGTCACTACCTGTCACTGCCTTAATGGTTTTGATGATGAGAGACTAAACATGGGGTAAGATGTTGCTCAGTTTGGATTTGTCTCACAAGATCCCATTCAAGGTGTGCCGTTTGAATGTGATCACCATAGAAATGGTCTCATATTTGTAGGAGCATCTGCTCAGATGGTAATTTTAATTTGTCTCTTTGTTAGTCAAAAATATCAGCTTATCAAATGAATAATATGATAGGTTAGCATGCTCTAATACTATTTTATATTTTAATTTTTTTATAACTTATGAGAATTTTATGAGATGATAAATGAACCATTAGTGTATTGTTTTCCTTGCCATTACTTATTGCTCTGATGATAATGAGTGCAGATGAAATGTCCTAAGTGTATCTTTCTGCCCTTATAGTCTACTCTGAAGTGAATGACTCTTTGCCATTTCTTAGTTTTCTTTAATATATAAGGATGTGGTTATACCTTTCCATTATGTATTATGTTATTCTCTACGACATTCATTATTTTAATGCTCAGAATATTCCAGATTTGTCTCACAGAGGTAATTTAAGGTTTCATTTTGAGGTCTTTTGATCATCACTCTTTATCACATTTTTACCTTCTGACTACACAATTTAAAAATCTATCTTATACATGCCCTGCTCTATTCTTGAAACTCCAGACTGAATAGGTCTTTAGGTAGAAATTGCTGTTTAGAGATGAGCAAGGATCACACCAATGGACATGCCAAATTATACAGGGAAAATCCTCAACCCTACACAAAGAACCACAGGCAACCAAGGAAAGCTGGGAGCAGGTGAGGTAGTCCTCCCTAAGGAAGAGCACACCAATTGGTTTTCTAGTGATGAATGGTCAGTCCTGAAAGAATAAAATACAAGAAAGAATAAATACAAGTAATGTTATGTTACATAGACTTAACAGGCTATATTAAGAAATGTATATGTATATACACACTGAAAATCTCAGAAGAAAGTAAGTCGATGGTCAAAATATCAAACCTACTATCTTCCAAACAGCCAGAAATACACAGACATGTTCCCAGCAGAGGAGGCTTAGAAACATAATGAGGCAGTGAACAAAGGAGGCAAGGTCTATGTAAATACACAGCACTTCCTGTTTCCTTTAACAACTAGACAAGGCAGTAGAAAAGCATACTTTAAAATTATGTTATTAATGGTTGCTAATAGGTCAACTTCACTATAGGCCAGCTTATTCAAAATGTATTATTTTTAAAATTGGATAGGTCACCCTTCCTCAACAATGAGTCATGGGTAAGGCTAAATTTAGCAAACCCAGGCCACTGAACACCTGCTTTCATAATAGCTCTCTTCCATGATTGTAGGGAAGGACTGTGTTCTTGTTCTTAACTTCAACTATGCCCATTTTGTTTCTTTTAAATGTTTTCAGTAACACTGACAATGCTTTGAAAAGAAAATCCTGTCCATGTTGAGCATGTCAACCAAAGATATGTGAGTGCTCCAGAATGAGTCTTATTGTGAAAATTCTGGACTTGGCCTTTCTTTGTGAGAAACTGTAACACCATATGCCTTGACACATCCCACTTTTGTCCCATCTGACCTTTTAGATAATAGCATAGGTGTTCGTTTCCTTGAGCAACCACTTAACAACTGTACAAATACTACTAACAGGTTCTGAAGTTGTCATGACACTACTTTAACTTCTTCACAGGCAGGGTTAGATAATAGAAATAGTTCTTGGAGACATATATTTCATATACACACATACACACATATCACATATATGCATAGACACACACATACACACACACACACACGCACACGCACACACACACACAAGAGTTAGAGTGTGTCAATTTCCATTGGCAGAATCCAATGCAAGTCAAATATGATTATATTAGAAAAGTTCTTCATCTAGGAAAAAAATTCATTCCATTTAAAGAATATTGTAATGTGTTTAACCTTCTGAAAATAATTTGATAGATTCTTGAATCTTACTGTGACCTAAACAGAACTTTTTAATTTGAAAATTGATTTTTTGAAATAAGATTGCAGAAATTATTTTAGGTGTGAGTTATTTAATTATGAAAGTACTATAATGTAACAAAAGAAAGCAGCAAGACACTCAAATTGCTTGGACTTTTCAGATCATGGAAATAGCGTGAAATTTTTGTCTTGGATTTTATATAAAACTATTTCAAAACAAAAATAGAAGGAATAAAACAAAAAAGTATATTAAAAGAACAAAAATCTAGCTTGTTTATTCTGTTATAGTAAACGTGCACATCATTATCTATTATATCAGGGTATACTCATCAAATTATGTATCTATATTAAGAATATCAAATTTTCCTTACACTATAGATATTGAAGAAACAGTTTTAAGACAGCAGTTTTATGGTTATAACCTTTGTCTGCTTTCAAAGATTCTTCTATTAGAAGATAACAGAACAAACACAGTTAAATCCTGAATTGTTAAGTCATATTTTAAAATTAAAATTTTATATCAAAACTAAAAAATACAGAAATATTTTAGCATCAAATAAAAGTTTAAGAAAGAGAGGAGGAGGCTAGGTGTTGGTTGCCCACCCCTTTAATCCTAGCACTCAGAAGGCAGAATTTGAAGCCAGCCTGTTCTACAGAGTGAGTACTAAGACAACCGCAGCTGTGATATAGAGAAACCCTGTTTTGAAAACAAAACAAAATAACAACAACAACAACAAAACAAAGACAGGAGGGTAAATTTCTAGTTGTTAGATTTCTTTTTTTTTTTTTTTTTTTTGGTTTTTTCGAGACAGGGTTTCTTTGTGTAGCTTTGCGCCTTTCCTGGAGCTCACTTGGTAGCCCAGGCTGGCCTCGAACTCACAAAGATCCGCCTGCCTCTGCCTCCCGTAGTTGTTAGATTTCTAAACACTCACCAGACAAAGCCAATCCTGCTCTATTCAAGCTTTGAAACGTACTCATTTTCCAGCTACAATGTTTGGCTTAGTTCCCTTATTGGATTGACAGGTGATCATTCACAGTTTCCACAGAAGATGGGAGGTAAATGTTAATAACTAGGATTTAATCAATATATGAAGATACCAAGATGTTATTAAGTAATTAATTTGTTGGATAACTTGCTAGCAAGAGTCAGAAATAGTATCCAGAGCTGAGTTTCTCTGACTCATAAAGTTTTCTCTTCCTATCAATCTTTGGCTGTCAACATTTCAAACATGTCGACATATAGATCTCTGTATAATCATTTCACACCTCTGAATGCCAACCAAAGTGTGGCAGGGATTACAACACTGATATCAGCATTAAGGTCCCTGGAGCTGAAGCTAGAATCTTCCAGTTAACAAACAACACAGCCTTGAATCAAATACTTTTACTGTCTACCATTAAGTCTCCTTAGTCTCAAAAAAAGGAACGTATAACCTTAAAATGCTCTCATCGGTAATGATGAACAATGATAATTCCAATAAAGTGACAGATGGCCCAGTGCTTCACTGCCTTAACTTTTCTTAAGAGGGCCTTTTACAGTTTGGCAGCCAGTGAAATTTATACTCACTTTCATTTCATTTTTTTCTCTGTAATCAAAAATGGATTTCTGATTAATTTTTTCTACACTGAAGTTTCTCAGCATATTCTACTGAGAGTGATTTCCATGGCTTTTCAGACTTAACTGTATCAAACATTCTTCCCCTACTGTTGCATCACCAGATTCCTCTTCACAGCGGATGATCTTACTTCCTATGTCTTTGGGTAGATAATAAAAACTATTAATGTATATATATACTAGCTTCTAGAAAACCCTATCATCTACTAATTCTGTTCGCTATTTTGTTTGGGAACAGTTGACTATTTGTTGAAGTTCAGACTGACTTTAGAGTAATCTTTTCTTTCAAAACCAATCTCCATTTAGCTAAGCCATAATAGAATCTACTTTTTGTGCAACTTCTCCTCATAACTACTTTATTTGAAGGTGCCTGTGTGCATCTTAAAGACACATACACACACACACACACACACACACACACACACACACACACACATACACACACACACACACACACACTCACACCTTAATAATAACTGTCTCAGGGCCATTGAGATGGCTCAGCAGGTGAAGGTCCTTGACACAATTCCTAACAATCTGACTCCAGTCCTTGGGGACCCATGAGATGGAGGGAGGAAACTGACTTCTTCAAGGCATCCTCTGGTCTCCACACATGCTCCATGGTTTATTTGCCACCAAAAACACTTGCATAAAGGAAATTTAAAAATAGCTCCCCACCTCTTCTACATGATGTCCAGCATCGGGCTTTGACATTCTTGAGGACATGGAGTTTCTAGGACCTTTGACACCAGAGATCTGAGGAGACTTAATAGAAACAAAAGGAAAATGATTTTCTTTTTATACAGTGACTGCTATAAAATGTTCAGATTACTGAAGGTTAAAAATGTGTAGCACTGCTAAGTGTTTATAAGTACAATAGAAAAATAATTTCAATGAAATTCTTCTTGTCCCTAACCATAAGTAACTTTCTTAATTGATTCACTGGTGCTACAAGAATCTCTAATATTCAATTTTGATTGAATATCTCAGGAATATATGCTAAAAGTTATTCTAAGATAAACCTTTTTGTATATAGAAAATTAGACTACAATAACAAAAAACTAAAAAGATACACATTATTTGTCAATCAATTCTGAGGACGATTTCATCAGTACTACTGTTTTTAGATACTAGCCTTTCCTGTGATATTGTATATTTTATTCATATTTTGATAACTGATATTTAAATATAAACTCACCTTAAAAATCTTTGAAAAATAATATCAAACACACTAAAACCTGAAATTATAAAATCAAAAAAGTTACTAAGTTTGCCTGCTTTTGAATCCTAACTAAAAAAATAATAGAAGAAAACAAATGAGAATAATGAGCTCATTCATGTATTTTCTTCTTTAAATGGATAAATTTGTGTCAGCATTTGTAGAACTAGCAGAGTTGAGGAAGCTGTTTAGTACTCTAACTTCTACCATAGGACCATTTACGTATAAATGAGCTCAACTTCCTCAAGATCCCTCATCCAGCAGTGAGGTATCTGGGCCAGATATTTTCTAAAATACACTACACACTAATGATTTGAATTGCACTCTCTGTGAAACTGTTAACAAATAATTACTGAAGTGAATAGGTGCATTTTGCTGGGCATCATGGCACAGCCTTATACCCTAGCACTCTTGAAGCTGAGACAAAAAGATTGCAAGTTTGAGGCCAGTCTGAGGTACATAGTGACATCTGCCCTCAAAAACTGAAAAGCAAAGGGAAGACATGAGGCAAAAAAGAAAGAAAAATAACCTTTTATTTTATAGGGCACTTGAGTGATTGGCATTGTTTACATGTAATAAATTCAACAGAATCATTAGATGTGCCGTTAATATATCACAGAAGAGGATTTGATCTTAATAAAACTGGAGTTTTTTGATATATGGATGAAACTCCATAGTCACTGGGATTCTTACCACAGGATGGTGTACGATGTATGACGATATGCTGCTTTATTGCAGATTCCTAAGTGATAAATTACATTGAATTACTCATAAGAATATCAGAAGTCTAGGCTACAATGGTTTGTTTTTAGAAAATCAATGAAGTAAAAGTGTTCAGTTAAGGCCTTAGCCACATTCTCTAGTTTCCTTATTCTACTGACTTATTTCCATTTTCAAAACAAGGAGTAAGGGCCACAAGAAAACAAAATGATTTAGTGGGTAAAGGCACTTGATGCCAAGCCTGAAGACCTGGGTTCCAATGTCAGGACTCATATGGTAGAAGGAGAGAAATGGCCTTACTAAGTTGTCCTCTGCCTTTCACACAAGCCCCAATGCATATTCAAGGGCACACATACACACACATACAAATACATTTTTGAAAACTAAAATGGAAGTGATAAAAAGGAAGTGAATTATGCTAAAAGAGAGTCCCTTGATATTATAATGAATGACTAAATCTTTCTCTGGAAACCCATACAATTTTGGGGTAATCAATGATCATTTTATGCTGGCTTCTTTCTCATAGTTTAGCATCAATTATACACCTGTAGAACCAGAGTTTCTATGAGAAAGAATGAGAAGTATTCATCTTGATATATTGCAATTTTGTTGGGAGTATTATTAATAAATGAGTTGATAGTTATGTATCACACATAGAGGCATTTAGGGATAACACAAGTACACAAAGAAATGTTTGGCCAAGCACTAAATTTTTAAGTGAAAGCACCTATACTCGTAATTTCTTGTTTGTGTGGTGGGGACTTCCAGTAGCTATTACTGACTTATCAGAAAAGTCTACCTCAAATTCAGTTTTGATGGAACATCCTTAGAAAATGTTCAGTTTCGTGAAATTTTTATATAGAAACTGATGGTGTTTTTTTTTTTTTTATTGCAACCAATATATATTGAGCAGAGGGCACATATTATATGCTGGATCCTATGTTAAGAGATAGGTACTGAACAGCTTCACAGATTTGAAGGTCAGTTATCCACATAGATAATGACAGTCTTCTGAAAAAAAGCAAGTATCTGCCTCTCTGACCCTCTTGTGGTTCCAGAGAATATTGGTAGACAAATGACATATGAAAAATTGCTTTCTGGATTCCTCGTGATCATAGTAATAGCCTTCAGAAAATACCGCTTCTCAGCACTGAAAAGAGAAAATAAGGAAAATAAAGAAAATTGTGTGTAAATTTTGAAGGACAGGTGTAGATGGCTAAAGAAACAAGAGATGGGGTCTTCCAGTGACACATTGTTTAAACAGCAAAGGTGGCACAACTGTGCTAAAGACAGGCATGGTCTGAGACACTTTTTAGGCAAGAACAAAAATTGAGAAACAGGTTAGAGGCTCAGGGCTGTGGGATGTTTATCATTGTTACTACTTGCCTTTTAAACCTTGTATTAAGTGAAGAGTTCCCCACAGAGACAATTTATAAAGCTGGATACACTCACATAAACTATAGCTCAGTTAAACCAATAACTTTTCTCAAGGACTTGCACCAATATTACCCTGCTTTTTATACTTCATATACTGGCTTTTTTTCTGATGCTCTAACTTGGTGAAGAGATCAAATTATCAAGAAATTTTAAAGCTCTAATCAGTGGGGTTCTGATTCCTGGAATGTCCTCAGAATCACTCTTCAAAGAACTGAAATGCCAACTTTGATGCACATTAACCAATCAACTCTTCTGACTAATCTCCAGAAATCACCAAAGGAAACATAAACTTCATTGGGATCTTAGACAAATGCTTTTCTGGGGATGCTACTTCACATCCCTTGCATCAGCTTTATTGCTTAGCGTTCAATGTAATTCAGTTTTAATTAAGGATTAATTCACTTGGCTATTATACTTGTTCTTAAAATTGTTCAGAATGGGTAAGAACTGTATAAATCAAAAGTACATACATGTACCTTTATTACAAAAATTATTTCATCTTCTAATTCTTGTCTCCAGTCTACCTGCTTGTACCCCACAACACCATTGTCACCCCAATATACACAAATAAATGCAGGTAGTGTATTTTATATTTTTTCCAAATTTTTCTAAATATCTAGGAAGGAGAAATAAGTATTTTCATCCATCCTTTGTGTTATTCAGTGGGATGGTAAACTCATTGCTCTGCCATGCACTTTATTTTATTTCAAACATAAATTTGAATATGCTTTTACATTATTTTCTATGAGTACCTTGTCCTTCATCATTTATTTTAACTTTTTTGAAACATAATATGTTAAACTGATTGACGAATTCTTCTCAACCTCCCTAATGCTGCGATCCTTTAATACAGTTCCTTGTTTCGTAGTTTCCTCCTAATATAAAATTATTTTGTTGCTACTTTGTACCTTTAGTTTTACTACTTTCATGAATCGAATGTAAATATCCGACATGCAGGATATCTGATATGGGACTCCTAAAGGGGTCATGACTCTCAGGCTGAGAAATACTGGTTTAAACAATTCTTGGAGTTGAGAAGTATGAATGACTATAAATTTGAATACATGAATGAAGTCTCTCAAGAAAACCATTAACTACCATTGTTATCTCTATACAGTTAAAGACCAAACATAACTAGATTGTGCTTACCCATTTTGAACTTATTCTCTAATCTGAATAGTGCCCATAATAAATTGTTTTGCAACTTTGTCTAAACAAAAAATGAAAGTGACTTCAGTTGATGCTCATAAAGTTCATCCAGTTATTGAACATTGTTCCATTCAGAAGTTAAATAGTCACCCACTGGAATTTGATGACGATGTTCAAACACAGACTCCCAGATATTCGGTAACTCACCTCAACAATAGGCATGCAGTGCAACTTGTGGCCTCAGAAAGCTTCCCTGCCAGGTCACACTGAAGGGACTTAGAAATCAGTGATCTATTAACACTGAGAGGAACAAGGAGTTCAGTCCAAATGCTCAACCCTGTGACAAACTCAATGACAAAGTCCCTTTGCATGCAGTGTTCCTCAGCCTGTGATGTGAAAGGAAAGCTTGTCCCCTACCCATCTCTAAACCAATATTGACTTGTAAACTTGTGACATCAACATTTTCCTTTTCTAGACATAACCTGTTAATATGTTTTATGATCAGAGGGCAAAGGATATAATTTAGCTCCTCTTAGTGGGAGAATCTTCATGTGAACTCTAGCTATTAGAAACTTGTTAATAACTACAAGTGATACACTTAACATCAGGGGGTAGGTTGCACTAAAGGACAAGACTTGTCAGTACTAGTGACTATGGCTCGTTGTTGGAATCGTTTCTTTGTAAAGGTGATTCTTGGTTCTGCCTTTGATTCTTTCTCTGCCACCACCTCAGCAAGTCTCTGTTAGAATTCATTTTCTGAATACCAGTGTTTATTTTCTTTCCCTTCGTGTCTTTCCCCCATTCTCTTTGACTTTGGGACAGGCAGGTTTTGGCGCTCATAGTCAATGAGACCACTGGAAAAAAAAATTACTAGCAATATGTTTGTCAGCAGCATCTGGTCATTTGTACTTAGGAGTCTGATTTGAGCCTGGGTGAGGTCAGTCACCAATTCTGGTAAATTTCAGACAGAAATATGTATACTGCTTACTGACTAAATAAGTAATGGCTATGTGAAGCCTGGAGCATTTTCTCTTTCTCTTTGGCATAGAATTTGGGAACATTTCAGATAATGGTTGCTCTTGAAAAACTTGGGACAGGAGTGACAACTACAGATAGATTGTTCTCTACCATCACAATACAGGTTTAAGAAATGGGAAGGAGTCGGTCTTCTATTTATTTGTTCATTTTTGTTTGAAACCAATTTGAATTGGACACATTTCTCTCTATGGCTACAGAGAAT